TTTAATATAAGGAATAGGGTTATTTTGGGTCATTTGAAATTATAGAAGCCCTCATACTTGAGTCTTCCACAATTTGACAAGTAAGAGGCTTCATGATGCCATTTAAATTCACTTTTACTCCCTGCTAAAGAGTCTTCTCATCATCGGAGAGTATTTTTCTTTAGAGCAATATGGTAACTTTCATTTTGTTTTAAATGATTGGCTGAAGAGACTATCGGGCGGCTATATTAGTTTGTATCATTAAAGATTCTGAAGTATCGTTCTAAAATGGGTTTGCTGGTGGATCAGAACTCCATTCATGTTCTTTTTGGGTTCTTGTTTGATATTTATAACTCGTGAACAATCTTCAATTATATTTTAAGAGGAGATGTTTAACCAAGTCTAAATTTTACGGATCTCCGATATTCCAATACTCATAATTCCACATTCTAAATGCCTTTGCATCTCTTTGTTCATCCTAATCCTTTTTAACAGTTGTCCAAGAACTTGAGGTGATACTTGATGACATTTATGCTGACCTTCCGATGATCCCAGCCACAATGACTTATTGTCTATCCAATGCTGCGCCTAGTCAGTCTGCATCGAAACTCCTTCTATCCGATCAGAATACTTCATCGGCCTCCCTTCAGAAGCATCCGCATAATGTTGTCCTAAATGATTCACCTAGTACCACCACTGACGCCCCTATATTCATTGATCTCGACTTGCTTGAGCCAGATTGTTCTGCCAAAACTGGCACCAGCACTTCACCAATTGATTTTGCGATCAGGGCCGACTTATCCAATTCTGGCTCAGCCCGAAGTATTCCTGAGGACCATGTCTCAGAACAAATTCTTCCAAATTCAGTTTTACATCCCGTGTCTCCCGTACCTGCTTCTCCTCGTTCTTCGTCCGCCACCGGCGATATCACATCTTCGATTCCACATGATCTTTCGCTGACTCCCACTCTTATCTCCTCTTTACCTGCAGCAACGGATCCACCAATTACTTCTGCAGATCACACATCACTTCATGAGTCAGATGACCATGTTTTAACTCCGATTCTAACTCATAGGTCTCCCAGTTTTAAAGACCTACCTGAAGAAGTTTCACGTTTATCTCCCTCACAAACAAGCCTCATTTCACTCGACTCAAATTGTTTTGACGATAGTTCAACCACTCATCCGAAGGATAGTGTCGTCAATGCTTCATTTTCTTTCCTTCCCTCTATTTCTTAGATTAACTGAGCACCAATCCTCTTATATGACTATGCTTTCCTTTACATGCTCAGACACTTGATATATGTATTACAACAGCCTATCCTAGTTGCGAAGCAAACCAATTAAACATATTTAGATTTTCTCAGGATAACTCAAATCCTCCCATCCCATTTATTTATTTCTAAGTCTGAACAGTGGTACACATCTGATTTCTTTGCTTTTTCCTTCCTATCTGTTATTCAGCACTCTACTTTCCAAGTCGCTCTCGTACCTTACAGACTGTCACGCAGATTATGAGGACTCTGAAGAGGTCAATTCTTCATTTGCATAGCAGTCTAGCCATGTTTTAATCTCTTCCTCGTTTCATGAAACTCTGACTAACCTCATCTTTATTTTTCGTTGTGCTACGTTGCACCAGTGGCCTCTTTCTATCTCAGATTAGGTGAAATAAGACAGGGCTTCCCATCCTATTGTGTTTGGGTCAGTATAATTCCTTTAATTCATTGATACACCAGCTTAACTTTCACTTGTATTTATTCCAAATCTCTTCGGGCCATTACGCTTTTAGTAGTATATTTATATTTTGTACTTTTTGATGGCCTCGGAAATAAATCATGTTAGATCACAAAAGTTTTTTCTTTGGTTTTATTTCTTTTATCACATTTTTACGGTAATGGGCATTTGAACTGCTTCTTTTAATTATTATATTTGTTTGATTTAATTGTTATCATTAATATAAGCTCTAGTCCAAAAGAAGTGGCTGCCTTGCCAAGAGGCTATAATGTCTGGCAAGATCTGCTGCATTTAGTCATTTTACCTATATTTTTTTATACGGATTCACATGTATGGAAAAATTTTGTATTGCATTTTAAGCATGCAGATTATTGCTTTCTGTTTTGCCTTATTTACTGTCCAGTTCTCCATTATTTGTGAATTGCCGACCAAGAAGGTCAATGTCTGACGTACGCCCATTGCATCAGGCCTTCATGCATGTTTCGGGCCTCCATCATGCATTGTAATTATATAATGCGAAGTTTATATTATTACCTTTAGTAATTCGTCTCAATCTTTCCTTACCACATTGATTAGCCTTCTCATTTGGGCATCGCATCTAGCTCAAACCCTTCCCTTATCTCACTTAAAGACTGCTTTCGTCATGACTTGAACTGACGAGCCTTCCCTTCGGATCTACCTGGCTGATCATTATCGTTTAAGTCTCCGCCATTACTCTGTAGTCATTTTTGACAATTGCGGGACGGGGTATCGGCAACCACATTGCCTCTATTCCCTCATGGTGCACATCCGTGGTGAACCTTGAAATATAGTAAAATTCAAATGCAGATGAGGGATCTCGTATCATGATTTCTTATTTGATGAGTTTGTAAATGCTCTGAATAGGGGTTAATCGATGTGGCGTGTAGGGATTGAGAGGAGTCACTACAATATTTTGCCCAATTGACGAAAGGACATGCCTGATATTTTGATAATTTGATTTTAGCTAGTAGCTAATGACGATTCCTAAAGGAATTTTCGAGTGCCATCTCGCTCTGACTTTATGTTAACAGTGCGATTACTTTCTAGCTTGCTCGTAGCCAAGTAACTTTTTCTTAAGCCCATTTAATCTTATCATATTCTTAGTCTTTTTAATAAACTATAGTTAGCATTCTGAAATCGTGCCTATAGCTTTTTTGATGTAGACAGGTCCCGTCTCGTTACTGCTGAGTCAAATTTTTGCTTATTTCATTATGTAGATTAACTCGCAGTTTATTCCTTTGTTTTTATGTTTTACTGGCATTTATCAAAGATTAAACACATCCCTTACCCTGTTTTTCGTACCTGTAATTTTTCTTTTAGGTCCTGAGCCTCCCGTTTTGAGTGCGATAATTCCTTCCTGCGTCAGCCAATCTTTAAACGTCTGCATTTTTACTTCATTTCATCTCTTCCACTGGCGCATTGCCTTCTTTTCTTTATCCTTATTTCCGTCATCTTCCTACTTTCTTCAGCAAGTCACACATGCACAACCATTCTTGCTTGGCCAAACACATCCTGCAACTTTTCGATACTTTACACGATGCTTTTTTAATCTCTCAATTATTTCTCGACATCCTAACCCATATAATTTCCTAATATAGCATCCAATATCACAACTGATTGTCTGTGTCGGCAAATCCGTCTTTTCTTAATCCCTCTATGGTGGTCCTTCTTTCAGAACTTATTTCATGGCTCCGTGTGACACCATTCGAGCTAGTCATCCACTGCGTTAGTTTAGCCATCTGCCTATTTTTCTCAGTTTTGTACGATGAGGCTATCTGGTTAATCGATCGGACTCCTAGTCAAGCACTTTGGGTGATTTTCTCTCCTCTCTTCACAGCCGACGCGTTCGCAGCATACTTCAACCTCACGCTGCTTGCCAGACACATTCACTTGAGCCAGGTAGTGACTCCTATACTAATTTTTCCTGAATTCATAATCTTGAATTTCTTTAGCAACACGGATTCTACAAATAATAGATCAGGAGTGTTTTTAAATGAAAATTTTCTGTATAAGCCTTTTTTTATTATTTTTAACTCGAAAATATTTGTAGCTTTATTCTTATCATTT